CCTTATACTTCTATGACAACTATTACAACTAATGCTATATAGTTATAAGAAATTAACAAAAAAACATAATTTTATACATTTAGTTATCTATATGTGTCTTAAATGTCTTATTATTAACTATTTTCAAAAGTACAACTATAAAAATGTAATTTCTAGTACGATATAACTAATAAAATCGTTTTAGCTATGAAAGCACAACTCTGTGTAATAAAAAAAAATAGAGTACAACTTACCTACTTGGGTACAACTTTGTATATTATTTGACGGCGTGAAAAAAGTAATTAATTATTTTTATAATTATTTTGCTGGCGCTCGTGTAGTTTGACGGCGCTCGTGTAATTTGACGGCGCTCTTGTAATTTGACGGCGCACATGTGGTTTTTGGGCCTGAAAAATTCCTTTTGTTCTAGTTTCAACAACACTAGTTGTACGCAATAATACCAGTTGTACTAAAAAATCTGAAAACATAATTTAATTAAAACAGTAAACCTCCTAGTAGTTTTAACTAAAACCTGTTTCACCAAACATAAAAAACCTCCTACTAGTTTCAACCTAAACCATCTACAAGTTTCACCAAAAACCAATAACTAGTTTCAACAAAAACAAAAAAAAAACTTGTTTCTTCTACTTCTTTTTTTCAGCCTCTCGTTTCTTCCTTTCTCCTGGTGCATCATTTTTGTAAGGAGTGGATATATGCCTCGATGGTTTACCCTTTCTCCTATTCCTAATGAGCTCAGCCGTCCTTTTAGCCTCAGCACTCTTCCGCATACATATTTTGTAGCGTGGTTTCTTTGCTGGTGGTTCAGGAGTCTCCGCAGGTACAGGTGTAGGTGCGTTTGTGGTCTCCACTGCAGGTGCAGGTACGTCTGTGGTCTCCTCCGCAGGTACAGGTGCAGGTGTGTCCCTGGTCTCCTCCGCAGGTACAGGTGCAGGTGTGTCCCTGGTCTCCTCCGCAGGTACAGGTGCAGGTGCAGGTGCGTCCCTAGTCTCCTCTGCAGGTGTCTTCTCCATACCCTTATCACCTACATTGCAAAATAATTTTGTTTTTGAACATACACTTATGAGCGAGGAAAGAAATAAATATCTTTTTTTACCTCTTGCATTTGATCCTCCACCTGTTTCATACACTCTCCCCACATCTTCATACTGAAAATCCATAAAATCTGAATCTCTCCTTTGATCAGCTATTTTCATTTCTACAGACTTCAGTCTTGTGTCCATCTCATGAACCTTCTCATTAATCTTCCTAAACCCTTCTTCCATTTTCTCGTTAATCTTTATAAACCCTTCTTCCATCTTCTTCAACACATCCTCACTTCCTACCGCTTCAGTATCTGTCGGTTTGGGCAATGGCTGGTCTTCTCGGGATTTAACATCTAATAGGTACAGATCCTTCAAGTGTATCTTCTTCTTTTGTTGGACTAAAATCGTGTGCCAACTATCAACAACAGGGTCAGAAACATCATCATCCTCTCCTACTTCGAAGTCATCCCATACATGCTCGTCTAGGATGTCAAGCAAGAGTTTGGCTTCTCCATCTTCAGGTACCAAGATACTGATAATATCCTGTTTAACGAAAAACAAAAATTAAATTAAACTAAATCTCTAATAATGTATAAATATAAAATGAAAGGAGACTCCTAAACCTTTGTATCTCCAAGCACTTCATAAATATCAGCTAAAGAAAATCCTGTTTTGCCTGTTCTCTTAAACTTCCACTTGCACATTTTTGGACAATCACCATCTGCATTCCCAACTTTTTCTTGAAATGCTGCTTTTAGAACCGGGATAGATTCAAACGCCAAAATCTGCACATATAATCGTACTAGTTATGCCAGTTCTACCAATAATACCAGTTCAACTAGTTGTACCCGAAACACGAGTTGTACCAATACTACTACCTATACACTATATCAAGTTGAACCAAGAATACTAGTTGTACTAATACTACGATTTTTAGTTGTACAAGTTATACTGAATTTAAAACATATAACATTACCTCTAAAGGCAATATGAACCCCGGAAAAGTCCAATTCCCTCGAACAGATCCTCAAAATGATCCACCAGATGTGCAACCTCAGCTAAGACGTCATCAAAAGTGAAACGACCCCAGGGAAACGTTTCACACAGATCCAGATCATCCACCACTCGGAGAATGAATGGGTCTATGGATCCACCATATTTCTTGGACTTTCCTTTGATGACAGTTGCTAAGAAGAAAAGTACAACCATCTTCAACCGATCAGTACAACCTTCAATGAAATCCATTGATTCCAGCTTCTCACGCACCTCTTTGACCTCAATATTGGTCTTTCCAAACTGCTCCTCCACAAAATACATACTCCCTAACTGCTCATAGTCGGCTGGATAATGGTGGCAGAATAATCCTGAAAGAAGGCCGTGTTCTCTGATTGAATACCGAACAGGCACACCATTCACAACAAACCAACACTGCCGCTGCTTGTCTGTCACTGCTGTTCGGAGAAGCAACATCCACATTCCCATTAACATTCTATTCTTCTGGATAAACATGTGGACAATATGCTTGAATTGTGGGTGGTTCTCAAACCAGTTTATCTCTGAGATATCAAGCCTCTTGAAGACTTCCATGAAATTAAAGGTTTCACACCTTGATTGAAGCTTCGGGTATAACCGATACTCGCTTTGCTTGAAGAATAAACCTCGAGGTTCCATCGGTATTGAGACGTCCTCTTGCTGCAATCAAAACGCATAGGATAAGTGAATATAAGTGTATTGGTACAACTAGTATTCTTGGTACAACCAAAACCAAAAAATAAGTTGTACGCGATAATTCCAGTTGTACTAAACTACATTTCGTTCAACCACAAGCAAAAATCAGTTGTACGCGATAATTCCAGTTGTACTAAACTACATTTCGTTCAACCACAAGCAAATATCAGTTGTACGCGATAATTCCAGTTGTACTAAACTACATTTCGTTCAACCACAAGCACAAATCAGTTGTACGCGATAATTCCAGTTGTACTAACCGGTAGACCACAAGCAAAACTCAATTGTACACGATAATTCTAGTTGTACTAAACTACATACCGGTTGTAATGGATCAACATTTGAATTTGAACCCAATCCTTCTTCTGATGCAGTAGCATACTCAGCCTCAGATCTCTCTGGTTGAGAAGGTGAACCCCTAGTCGACATCCTCCAAAAATTCTGAAACAAAAAATCAGAAATCAGTTGGGGTTTAGGGTTGAGGGAAGAAAATCATAAATTCAGGTTTTAATTACTCTTAAGCCTAGAAGATACCTGTTCGGCGATGACGGAAGTGTGAAACGGCGGTGGTGGCAAGCCTAAAACGGCGACGGCGACGACCCTAATCTGAAGGGTGAACAGTGGAGAGTGAGTGCGAGTGAGTGGCGGTGAGCGAAGAGTGTGGGGATTTAATTGAAGAGGAAGAAGATGATGGAAGAAGACGAAAATGATGGAAGAAGATGATGAATCGAAGAGTCCGAAAATGATGGAGTATGGAGAAAATGGAATCGATCGAAGAGGGGAGACGAAGGAGGCGGGAATAGATCCAATTTTGGAGGGGGTGGGGTTTAGGTTTAGGTTTGCTTTCTGGTTTAATTAAATTGGTTGGTTTAAAGGTTGGTTTAAAATAATTAAATTGGTTTAGTTTAATCATTTCGGTTAATTAAATTGGATCTGGTTTGAGTCCGGTTGGATATGTAATTTGGTTATTCATTAATGGTTTTTTGGTCTTTTTATACCCTTTTGTATTAAAAAGAAAATCAAAAACAAAATCTAGAGATAGAAAGAGTATATGAGAATTTCTTATAAGGGAGAGGAGTATGTGAGGTTAAGCTCCATGATTTTTTGTGCTTCATACGAAGATTTCTCTCTTTTGAAATATTAGGAGTGTTTCTAAAGAGGTTGCTGAATATCAGAATATGTATGCAACCTTAATAAGAAAAATATAAACTGAAATCATTGCTACCATTTGTGAAAAATATGCGACGACCCATTATAGTTTTCAGATATATTCAAGCATCTTCTCTAATTGATACAAAGTACGATTACCAAAAAAAATTGATTTAAAACGAAACATTATGACATGGTTATGTTAATTGATTAAAAACATTAACCGAAAACAAATTTAGTAATAAAATCTGCACGTTTTATTATATTTAGTTATTTAAGTAGTTTCAAATGGTATATTTACACACTATTAAAGTCGTTAACTCCATAAAACATTTGTCATAACTACGAAATTTTATATTTCATAATGAAGATCTAAAGAATACATTAATATTTTAAAACCTTAAGAAAAAAAATAAATTTAATTTCTAATAATTTTTCATCATATGCATTTCTACAATATTAAATATGAACATATTGTATATATACTGTATATATTCAAAATACAGATTATAACCTAAAACTAATTTTAAAACAAATCAATGAAAAAACCTGGGCATAGCCCGGAGCCAACCCTAGTTAGATGTAATAATGACTGAGCACTCTTAACTTCCCAACGAGTTCTTCAGCTGACGTTCCTCACTTCAATCACTTTTCAGCCACAAAAACATCACCACAAAGCTGCATTGTTCTCTTGATTGGATTGATTAATTCATTTGATTTGATCATACACGAAACCCTTTATTATTCTAGTTGCAACGCAGCAATTTGAGCTATAACTTTTTTTTGTTACAAGTTTTCTTGGTCATTGTAGAAATGCTTCTACTACTATGTTTTCTCTATAGAAATTGTAATAGATATAGAGCGAGGGTAGCCTAAAATTTATAGAAAAATTGTATTTTTCTATAACGAAATTAAGAAGAAAATAACCCCATTTTAAGTTTGATTAGAAAGAAAAAAAATTATTTGTAGGTGTCTAACTGGGCAAGAATGCAAGATTCGTTGATTAATAAAAATATTATTCTGCACAAAAAAAAATATATATATTATTTTGTTGACTTTACTTTTTTTACTTTTGTTGTAATAGTTGTAATTATCAGTTCGTATATCTGTGCCTCTTTAAATTCTAAATATCTATAGACCAACATAATTATCCTCTAATATCTCTCTCTATATATTATTATTTGCAATCCTCCAAGAAGAATCTCACTTACCCTTAAACCTCTCTTCTCTAGCTAAAAGAAAAAAAAAATCCTCTCTTCTCTGTTTTTGTGTCTGTTTCTATCTCTATCTCTTCCACTCTTGTCGAAAATGGGAGGTAGTAAGAAGCATGCTAAAACCTCTACTTCTCTTGCCATTGTCGAAACAAATTCTCACGAAAATAAAGTTGTCCCCATTGAAGCACCGATTGTGTCCTCTTACAATGACAGGATCAGGCCGTTGCTTGACACCGTAGACAGGTTGAGGAACCTGAACGTGATGAGAGAAGGGATTCAGCTTCCCACCATTGTTGTGGTTGGAGACCAGTCCTCGGGGAAGTCAAGTGTGCTCGAGTCCCTTGCTGGAATCAGTTTGCCTCGTGGGCAAGGAATCTGCACGAGGGTTCCTCTTGTCATGAGGCTTCAACGAAGCTCAAGCCCTGAACCTGAGATCTGGCTTGAATTTGGGGACAAAGTTGTTCATACGGATGAGAAACACATAGCTGAAGCTATATGTGCTGCAACGGATGTTATAGCTGGTATGTTCTGCCTCTCTCCATACTGTTAAATATGTTACTGTTAAAACCTGCAAGAGCAATCGATTCTGAAAATGAAAATGTCACTTCATCTGAAACACGGACATTCAAAACGAGCTATCTAGTTATGTAAAAGTCCCTGAAAAATAACTGAATATTTGGGACTAGATGTATTGTATGATTCTGTAACTCCTAGTGGGACTTTAGTGATCTGTTATTTCTCATGCTGGTACACGAGTTTTGCTATTTGAATATCTGGTTTATGCTTAAGACTAACAATTAGAAGTCTTGACTGTGATAAGTACCTTGTGAATATTGATGTTGCAGGATCTGGAAAAGGGGTTTCAGACACTACGCTGACGCTGCATGTCAAGAAGGATGGTGTTCCTGATCTGACAATGGTTGATCTCCCAGGGATAACCCGAGTTCCAGTGAACGGACAGCCAGAAAACATCTATGAGCAGATCTCTGCGATGATCATGAAGTACATAGAGCCTCAGGAGTCAATCATCCTCAATGTTCTGTCAGCTACGGTCGACTTCACCACCTGCGGATCAATTCGAATGTCTAGACAAGTTGACAAAACCGGTGAACGGACTCTAGCTGTTGTAACAAAGGCAGACATGGCTTCTGAAGGTCTTTTACAAAAAGTCACTGCAGATGATGTGAGTATCGGGCTCGGTTACGTCTGTGTCAGAAACCGGATAGGAGAGGAAACATATGAAGAAGCTAGGATGCAGGAAGAGCTGCTCTTCAGTACTCATCCACTGCTAAGCTTGATTGATGATGAGATCGTGGGCATCCCTGTGTTAGCTCAGAAGCTAATGCTTATCCAAGCAACAATGATCGGCCGTTGTTTACCTGAGATTGTTCGCAAGATAAACCAGAAGATGGAAACTGCTGTGCTAGAGTTGAAAAAACTGCCAACGGTAATGGCTTCTACTGGAGAAGCGTTGATGGCACTGATGGATATAATCAATTCTGCGAAAGAGTCTCTCCTAAGAATTCTAGTCCAAGGAGATTTCTCTGAGTACCCAGATGAGCAAAAGATGCATTGTACTGCTCGCTTAGCTGAAATGTTAAGCCAATTCTCAGATAATTTGCAAGCACAGCCCAAGGATGTGACAGAGTTCTTGATGGATGAGATCAAGATCCTTGATGAATGCAAATGTGTCGGCCTACCAAATTTCATCCCGAGATCGGCGTTCTTAGCTATTCTCTCCCAGCACGTGGATGGAATACATGGCAAGCCGGTTGATTTCATCAAGAAGATATGGGACTACGTTGAAATGGTGCTCTCATCAGTTCTCAACAAATATTCTGAAAACTTCCCACAGATTCAATCGTCCATCAAACGAGCCGGTCGCAATCTCATTTGCAAGATGAAGGAAAAATCCGTGGAGAGAGTGATTGAGATCGTAGAGATGGAGAAGCTCACAGATTACACATGTAACCCAGAGTACATGACGTCTTGGACGGAGAAGACAGGTGCACAGCAAAACTTCATTAAAGCTGTGTTGAACGATGAGAAAAAACCTGAGAATTTCTCTCTAACTGGATTCGGGAATGTGAAGATTTCGCATCTGCGAAAATATCACGCTCATCTGCTGCAGCAGGCGTTCGACATGAAGATGAGGATCACATCGTACTGGACAATCGTCCTTCGGAGGATTGTTGACAACCTTGCGCTGTATCTTCAATTCTCGGTGAAGAATCTCGTCAACAGTCAGTTTCAGAAGGAGATCGTGGCGGAAATGGTGGATTTCAGAGGAGGCGGAGGAATTGAGAGAATGCTGGCGGAGTCGCCGTCGATGGCGAGCAAGCGGGAGAAGCTTAAGAACAGCATCAAGCTCTTGAAGGAGTCCAAGGACGTCGTGGCCGCCATCGTCGATCAGAACTCTGGCTATGGAGATCGTTGATGGATTGCTTTTTTTTTTTTTCTTTTTCTGGCTTTGGCGATGTTGGGTTGGGCTTTTAGGGTTTTTGGGTGGGGTTTTTTTTTGGAGTTGGGCCCTCGTGTTTTTTGAATTTCGGATAATCTCGGCTATGTTATAATGTAATATATTTTGTGTTGTAAACTTGTAATGCCCAAGCTACAATTAATCTTCTTGTTAATGTGGCGCTGCCGTTGAAATGAATTTCATGTTTAATTTTCATTAAAACTTAAGGTGGAAAAGAACTTACTGCAGCAAAGTTTTGTTTTTTTATATAAGTTTACGGCGGTAAAGTTGGTCTATACTTAACAGACTACAAATATTGTTCTGCCATTTTCATGAAACCAAGGATTCGTGAAACTGTTGCGAGTTATGGTTTAGGTTATAAATGTTGGTTGCTTATTGTTTTCCAGAACTGATCCGGAAGGCTGCAAGCGAAAGCTAAAAATATGCCCGGTTAATGCGGCTACAGGATGTACTTTTTGTGACGAAAAGTTGGAAAGTAGGAATCATCTTTTCTTGTCCTTACACAGGGGCGGAGGCAATAAACATGTTATGGGGTCATGTGCTTTCTATTACTTTTTTTTAAAAATAATTTAATTATATTTAATCTAAATAATTTTAGTTTAGTAATAAAAAAATAAAAAGTTATTTCTAACTAATTTTTTTTCTTATTTAAAAAATTAGGTCTTCAACTAATTTTTGTTCTAAATTTGCCACTGTTAGTACGTGGTATCATGAAAGCAAACTTCACTTGGGTCTAGTCGGATATAATGCTACAAACGTCGAGCAATCCAGTCAACTCTACAAGATCATTCATGTTTCATGTAGAACTGCGAAAATCCAATTGAAATCACGAATATAAAATAACAATATTATAAACGATATGTTAAGGTAAGAGATTAGAACGAGAGTTAGAAAAACGATTGAAAACAGACGAAAATACGGAGTCGAGATATGATCTCTTTCCTTAACTCAATAAATCGCCCGTAATGTGTGACGGTTTGTTACGATTTTTGAATCCCAGGATACAACCGTGATGAGACTATTACGCAACACCCGTAATAGAATCTGCGAACTGAAATTATACTACGCTATAGCTCTCGAGACACTTACGATATTAAGACGAGTAGGATTTGCTGGAAAGAATTATTTGCTGTGTGTTTAGTGTATTCGAGAATTCGATAATTTAGAATGAGAGAAGAGGGCGTCTATTTATACTGTAAGGTTCAGCTTGATTCGCAAGGAATAAGCTTTGGCCAAAAAGGAATATTCACGAAATATTCTCCTTTTTCCGCAAGTAAAAGGGTTCGGAAATCTTCCGTTATTATCTGGACGCAATCTTTTATTTTCTAAGATTTATCCTTTCAATATGCAAAAAATATTTCGCAGGAACTAAGAAGCCCACGACCCACGCCCAGCTACATAGAGCCCAAGAGCCCAAGAGCCAACTAAAAAATGCAATGAGCCCGACACCGGCACCGGCACCGGCGACGGCGACGGCGGCAGCGCGCATAGGTGTTTTTGCATAATACCATTTTACTTCCACAATGCTGTTGACCCTTATTGTGAGAAGGCCATATATATATAAGAGATTTTTCTCCTTGGTGAGCACTGTGGGACAAATACACTTCCACTAAAATTCCACTTTTAGTTATAGCCAATAGGAACATTTCATTTCCATAGACTCAAACACAAATCTCAAATGAATTTATAAAGCTCATTTGCTTATTAAACTTCATTTTTTATTCACACACAAACTCAATATTACAAGTCCAAATGCTTATTAATATTGGGTTCCAACAATCCCCCACATGAATATAAATGACTATACATATGCAGACTCGATTAACTATGAAGACTAGACTCAAACTAGACTACAGACTCGACAAAGAGATTTTTCGAGAGTATAAGCAAAAACTAACTGTGTCTGAGGAAGTAGCGTTTTTCAGTGTTGAACTACTCATTGTTAATATCTGTCGGATTTACTCTCCAGGAAGTGAACATGATGTCTTGAACCGCCCGGATTTTGGTGTAAATCAAATCAACAGATATAACCCAGCTTCGTCTTCTCGTAGCATTCAGTTCTCTATTGTGTTCATTGTGGCCTTGAACGTGCCTGGTTTATCATGAGTGAACTTGGAGAGTATAGCCTTGTCTTCGTTCTCCTAGAAACGGCCTCATTTCACACTCACTAGGTGATTGCCAAGTACCTGTCACATACACAGAAAATATCCTGTTATACTCTATATACATGTATATGAAAGCTATGGTCTTATCTAATTAAAAGCCATAAAGCTTAACCTTACATAATTACAGGAAGCACTGTTTATCATCATGGAAATTGAGCATTTTACAGTGTTTTTCTCAGATTCTGCTTGAATTAGTTGTCCCTTTGAACCAACCTCTTGGGATCTCCAATCTCGTAGGTGGGGTTTCCATCAAACATCCTCTTTTATGATAGGCAATAAGCCCATTCCCTTAGATGGTTTAATGATTTGATCTTGCGGCAAGCTTTTGGTGAACGGATCCACTAAATTTTCCGCTGACTTGATGTAATCAACCGTGAGTACACCACTTGAGATCAGATGCCTAATGGTCTTATGTCGTCTTCGTATGTGACGAGACTTGCCATTATACAGATTATTCAGTGCCCGAGAAATAGCCGACTGACTATCACAGTGTACACATAATGCTGGCACTGGTTTTTCCCACATTGGGATATCTTCCAGGAAGTTCCGAAGCCACTCTGCTTCTTCTGCTGCTTTGTCTAAAGCTATGAACTCTGACTCCATGGTTGATCGGGCCAGGAGTGTCTGTTTGGAAGATTTCCAGGATACTGCTGCTCCAGTGAGTATAAAGACATATCCACTTGTGGATTTGGAATTTCTTAGAGAGTGACTTCTCATTTTTCTTCGCTGTGTTTCATATTTCCCAAAAGTCGTTTATATTTAAAACATATTAAATAACATTTGACTGATTTATCACAATTTTTCTAAACGAAGATACATTTTGAAATAAATAAATACATATTCGCATATAATCTATAAAATATGTTCATATATGTCACATTTTGATGAATAATTTAAAAACATAAAATTAATGTATCTATTCATAATTGTATGTATTCCTCATCGACACTTTCTTCATTATACATGCCTAATTATAATTGCGTTGAATTTATAACTGCAAATATGAGGCAATTTTAATACACAATCCAATTCTTAAACTAATAACATACCATTTGGCCCAAAATTATTAACACTGTACCCACACATAATGTCAATTATCAACATTGTAAAATTCGACCCATTAAACTTAACAATATGCTCAATTAAATTAAAATATTAAAAAACGTTCAGACATGCAGGTTAAATCATCTTGGAATAAATAAGTCTTATTTATTATACAGTATAATTATCCCTATTAAATGGTTCATCACATTTCCAATTGACAAAGCATATTCTCTAATATTTATGTTTGATATTTTTTCTTTTTTTATATCAAAAAATATATTTATATCACTAATTAAGTTAAACAATGTACCTATATATTTGGTAGCTGTTTATATTTCCTATTTTAAATTGAAAAAACTATTTTGTTAAATGAACAATATTAATTAGATTTAGTTCTTCATATTTATAACTAGCGAAGTTAATGGTGTAATATATTTGTTTCCACCTTCTTCCACTTATTTTTATAGTTTATTTTATTAGGATATATTCGTATACAATAAACAAATATTTCTTAACTGGTTTGGTATGGTAGTTTAAAAACCCTAGATAATACTAACTATATATTGGATTCAGACTGTGGATGAAAGTTTATCATATTACTTCTTAATACAGTCCATTTGCTCAATTGTTTGTTCTGAAAAGTAACATGCCAGGTTTTTAGTTTTTCTCGATAATTTTAGTTTTACTACTTAAGGTTTACACTTACATATGTTTTGTTTTTTTACCAGAAATTATGGATTACCATCTTCCTTTGTCGCTTGGCGAAACTGACGTCAGACACGGTAAAATCATTACGAAAAGCAAATTTATGGCTTGGATGGAAGGTAACCAGAAGTACCAAAATGGTCGACACATTCTATACAGTGAAGTTCCTACCAAATTTGTGTGGAATGCCAGACTTAAAGAATGAAGACTCAGAAAACGTGGTGTTGGTCAATCCGGGGTACTTAAAAAGTGTCCAATTGAAGATTCCGAGCTTTTTTACTTGTGGTTGTTGTTGCACATCGTAAGAGTTCCTACATCTTATGATGATATTAAGACTGTTGATGGTGTTACTCATCTCACATTCAAAGAAGCTTGTCTTGCTAGAGCATTTGTCCCATTTGAAGATCAATGATTCCTTTATCTTTTTAAGTATTCAATATTAAGTTTATTGATAATTATTTTTATTTTTCATAACATTTTGGCTTTTATATGTAGCCAAAATATTTAATAACGATGTGCATTTTACGAAAAGTGAAATGGAATAACTCTTTCAATATTTATTTACTACTTATAGCTTCATCTCTGTCTGTTTATATATCATCTTCGCATATAATCTACATCTCCATGTTTAGAAGTAAACGCAAATTATATAATTTGGCCCATACAATATTGTATGAATATATATTTGATAAACCCACAAAGCTTTAGGTAGTTATATAACAAATTCATTATATTGTTGTACGCTTTAATGATAAACTGACATTCTTTATGCAATAACTCATCGATACTTAATTTAAACATATGATATTTTCATTAATACTATTAAGGTATGTGTACAACTATAATAGAATATTTTTGTATATTTATAGTATTAAATGTAATAAGTGTTTAAAAGACATATATCTAAGTATTTATTCGTACGATATTTAACAATATCATATAAATTCCAAATTATGTTCTACTCTTATTCAGTGATTTTTTAAATTTTCTTAAATATTATAGGCGTTGTTATTATAATATTCACTTTACTATCCTGAGTATCTTAC